ATAAAATATAATAAATAAATAAAAATAAACATAATAAATAAATAAAATAAATCAAATTTAATTTCAATTAGATTAGATTTCCAGAGAGACTTGCACTATTGTCACCCACTTGCTAAACACTTATAACCTTTACTCACCCACAATGCGCAAGTGCACAATTGCGCTCGCCTTGGGCTCCGTGGAGACTTGACACTCGTAGGTGCCCTCATCCTTGAGCTGCACGTATTTGATTTGCAGGGACCAGCGCTCGGGGTTGGGCGAAAAGACCGACTGAAAGCGCTGATCCGCTATGAAGGTGGTCTGATCCACGGTGAGTATGTGGCCATCTCGCATGCGAAGCCAGGAGATGGGCTTCTTTACCAATTGCTTGACCTGTGCGAATGGATGAAAGAGGACAGACAGTCCCATTGAACGAATCAATATCAAATTAGGCAATAATTGAAAACAATCTGTCAATATTGGTGTTCATATTTTAAAATACAATACAATTGAGACGTGGCCGCAGGGGAAGCCCGGAGCGAATCCCAGCTGACTAACTGAATGATGTCAGCTTAACTTTGGCACACAAAACTTCGGCGCCTACTACAACAGCCATTGAATGATATATAGGAGGACAATGTAACGGTAAACAATAACGTCAACAAAATGACGATTCATTTCTGTCAATAATGACAATAATAATTTATAAGCAATTTTACAAGGCAGCCTCCTTGCTCTGCCCCGTCCCAGTCTCTTTCTATCTCTCTCTCTCTCGCTCTCTATCTCTCTCTCTCTCTCTTTTCAGCCCGTACAGCTAGCCAGTCGCACGTAAAGAAAATAATATACATTGAACTCGAGACGGAAACTGAAAGACCTTTTATTGAATGTGTATATTAGTATGTGTGTGCCTGTGTGTGGATGTACAACTCTGCATGTGTGTGCACGTGTGTGAGCACATTTTATTTATGTCGCTTGGTGTACCACTTGTACGGCATGTGAATGATATTGTACGAAGGAGCTCATCGTAATTACACTCGACACAATTTGTGATTTATTTGCTGCCAGCGAAGAAGTCTCTTATTTGTGAACATGTTCTTCTCGATTATGCCTTTGACAGTTGGGCATTCAGTCTGTTGAATTCATTTAATAATGTGTAATAATACCATTTACTTCAATCAGAATATTGAGATTGTTTTCAATGAATGCAAAAGTATTTAAAGTGTCACAAATGAATGTTGAATATTTGAGGCAAATGATTGGAATAATATTTCTATTTTGCTTTTCTTTTTTAATTAATACAGACATAAATAACAATCGTAAAAATATTAATATAATATCGATAATAATAATAATAATATAATATATGTTAAATTTAGT